TTTTCTAAGTAAAGCAAAAACAGCACGGTGAAATGAACTCGGCTCTCCTTTGAGTTTCACTTAGCGAGACCTCCACGTTAATGACCGATTTGAATAGTAACAGAGTTTAGTGGTGATTTATGCAAAAGATACCATTTATAATAAGGCCCAATAATAGAAATCGTATTACAATGTGTTATCCATCAATATGATCTACATTTTAATGCAAGGGGCAATATTCTGGAAAGTAATAAGATTGGAAATTATTAAAGATACGAACAAACACTACTATTTTAATGGAATAACTTTTATAATGAGAATTCTGTTTAAGCAACTTTTAAAACATGTTCAATGGTGAATGTCAAGCTAAACTCGTCAAAATTGACAACGCTGGTAATTTTTTCTTATTTTAACTCAAATTTCAGTTTCTTGACCATACGTTGAGTTGTTGCTAATATCTTATTTAATGTGTATTATTACATTATTATTAAGTCTATGGTCACAGTATAAAACGCATCTCTTTATATCCATACAATATAATGGCCATTAAGTCAGGCAATCATTCATTCTCTTTAAGCCAAATAAGCCACGAAATGCCTCTTGGCAATCTGGTAGGAGACACAACTTTTCCAAACTCACTCCAACTTCACTCATTGATATTCTTGGTTCTTTGGGTAAAGTCATGTAGAAGGGAAATAATAAAATAATAAATATGAAACAATCAAAATTCTCACGACGTTTCGACTGCAACACAAGCGATCATCATCAGCTTTAAATACAAATTTCACTCATTGAGTTATGTATCAGCGTAAAGGTGGTATGAGTAAAGTCGTGGGTTTTAATCTAGGCAGCTGCCTGTGATTAAACCACGTCCTCAAGTGGAGTGAGTTTATCGCCTCAGCTTAGTAGCCAATGGCTCTCTCAATAACGAAATCAAAATAAACATGGGCAAATTCCATCACTGAGAATGAAATGAATGCCTTAATTGTCATGCTACGAACCTTACTCCCATATCCAGAGTGAGTGGGAAGTGCTGCACCCTACTGTGTGTGGACCAGAAGTCACTTGAAGGGATCTCTCATTGGTAGCTCTGTGAAATCCACTTCCATGGGACATGCTGCAATACAAACGGTTGCACTGTTCTGCCCGAGTTTCGAATGGATCTTTGATCCCATGCCAAAACGCAAAACATTTAATTTGTTTATATAACGTATTGGTGTGAAGGACATTATTTATTGGGCATGTGATGATGCATATATTTAGTGATTCAATCCAATTCTAAAGCTCATGACAAAGGCATGTCATTGTTTGTGTGAAGTACCATGGACGTATTTTTCGATTTAAAGCTTTCGTGACTGCAGGGATTCATCTTCTTGGTTCTTTCGGTAAAGTCACGTAGAAGAGAAGTAATAAAATAATAAAAATAAAACATAATAAAATAATTTTCACGACGTTTCGGCCACAACGCAAGCAGCCGTCCTCAGGTGAAGAAACAAGTCTGTCGAGAAGACGCTGTTTTATTTTTATTATTTTATTACTTCCCTTCTACCATGGATGTGTACAGCCCTTTAGTCAATCTACTACTGGACGAGGGCCTCCACAAGTTGTGAGGGATATTTGACCATACTTCACCACATTGGTCAGCCCCACTGCTGCCCAGAGTGCCGAAAGTACCTGTTATTCGCACACAGTGGTTACCCACCCAAGTACGATGCAGACTCAAGTCTGCTTAGCATTTATTGTAATATATTTGTTTTGTTATATTTTCATGTGTAACGCGAGATCAAGAATACATTTTAATGTATGGGTCAATGCATCACTATGTGCTTAACTAATATATACAGATAGGAGCTTGTATAAACATTGCCCGTGTAAAATAATATGTTTAATGATATTATCTTTATTTAAATCAAAATCGAGTCAAAGCATGTCCCTGCATCAGAATATAGTTATGCTTATTGCTACGTTTCCCATAGCAGTGCCGCTGCTTGTATGTTTGTATGTATGTAGAACTTCTTTATCACCGCATCTAACCAAACGTGCTTATCGGAAGTGCGAGGGAAGGACAGCCAACTAAACACAAAAAAGCGGTTAGAAAGAAATGAGTTTTCAATCGAGAAGGTACGTTCAATGATTCTGCTATGGAATCCTTGGCAAACTCCTTTCGAATGTAAAATGTTTTGCTCGCACAGTAAAATCGCATTGCGAGCGCACGAGAGAACAATTTATGAAATATATCAAAAGTCTACTGGCAGAGCACTCCCTCCTAGAGACTTATTGGCTCCGCATGTAAGCATCCTGCGTGTATAATCATATTGGCTCTTGCTTTCACCAATGATTCACAACTTACATCCCACCACGATTCACCAACCTCACCCCCAAGTCGAGGCATTAAAAAGCACACTCGGCATCCACTGCAAGACGCACGTGTTTTCGTACGTCGGATAATGCACAAGCGAATGTGTGTGCCACAGTGTGAATTACACTCTAAATGCAACTTTAAATTAAAATTTAATGTGAGTAATGATGTTTTCTCAGCTGGAGGAAATAAAGTGCGTAATGGTGCTGGACCCCATTATTATTTATAACCAACATTTTTCACACGATCTTCAGAGGCCAAACGCTCTTTAATGACACACTTATGAACATCATCATAATTGGATCATTGCATCTTCAATTTACATATTAGATGCATTTGATTCATATGCTGCAAAAGATGCTCGTAAAGTTTTTATTTTATTTTATTATGATTGCAGTTGCCGAACACGGGCCCCAAATGCCTACAACATGAATCGACCAATAACAAAGGGCAATAATGATGGCACACGAGATACAACCCAACACATATATTTAATTGCGCAAGGTTATAGAAACATGGTAAAATATAAATGTTGCATCCTGCGTTACACTAGCCACACACGGTATGCATGAGACAAAACGGACACTTTAGTAGAATGAGTTTGTGACATGGGCAGAGGCATCGAGCTGGGACATTTAAGAGAAGAATAACTAAGGCACTGCGAGATCCGACCGTGTCCGTCTAGTGCTGCATTGGCTTCCGGTTTCCGAATGTATACATGAGGTCGCAATCATTGCACACAAAGTGCTTGTCACAAATGAACCACAATCCCCTGCTGATCTCATCAAGGAGCATAAACCATCACGTGAACTCCGGTCATCCTCACAGTGGCTTTAGCTAGCCCTCGAACAAAGACGGTCACTGCATTGCGCGCTTTCAGATGCGCATTAGCGGCCGTCTGGAACGCCACAGGAGCTATGCACTTTTAAAATAGAGATTTAAAACTCATTTCTTTAAAACTGCTTTTTTGTGTTCAGTTTGCTGTCCTTCACCCGCACCTTCGATTAGCATGGCTGGCTATGTACGGTGCAAAAGAAGTTCAACATACTATACTACAGACAAGAGGTCCACTGAAGTGACTGTGTTGTCGTCCTCCTCCAAGGGCCATTCTCTTGGCACAATACGACGTTACATCACCTCTCTGTGCGAGTTCCAAATTGTAGGCGCCTTCATTTCGTCACGTGACGCTGGCAGCAGCGTGATTGCAGTGCCATTGGGGAGAAGCGCGCGGGGCACTTCGCGTGTATTGACGCTGAAACAGGATTCATGTTCACATTTGACCAACGCACCCACGAGTGGGTAGCCCACTCGTGGCACGGCAGCCTTACGAGGCCAATTGAGTGAGGTATCGACTCGTATTGACAAACTATTTGCAGCGAGTTCGTGAACATTTAAAAATGTGTATATTGACAACATTCGGTTCAAATATATATATAAAAATTAGATTGCATTTTCAATATTTCTGTGTCCTACGCAAGCAATTTATTTTACTTGATATATATATAATACAAGTGAAGACATCTAGTATTTCTGTGAACCTCTCTCTTTTTTATTGCAGATGTCTGGCCACATACAATATGTTAAGCAGTGGTTAGCACACTGTGCTATGAACCTGGCTACCTGAGTTCTCTAGATCTGCCGAGAGCTAAAATCAGTAGCGAATGATATCTGAGAACCATTTCTGGACTTGCTCATCTTTCACTGATCCACACTGATCAGCATGGCGAAATATGGTCAAACAATCACCATAATTGATCCGACATGGGGAGGCCTTCCTCCAACAATGGATTTATAAAGCAGCGGACGTTATTTTTATTCCTTTAGCTTTGTGTCCTGGAAATTATGTCATCCTCACAGTGGCTTTTGGATAGCCATCGGGCAAAGACGGTCACTGAATCGAGCGCTTTCAGATGCGCTTCTGCGGCCATCTGGAACGCTCTTCGTTCCGGTATCAGGAAGCTCCTGGAGCTATGCACTTTTACATCCAGATTGAAAACTCATGCACGGCTGGCTACGTACGGTGCAGAAGAAGTTCAACATACAGCATACATGTACAATTACTTTTTGCAATTGGTATCTGTACCTTTGAATTTTGCCTTGGTCTCTCTAAACTGACTCGGCCTAAAGTGAATACCCACAATGTGTTAAACATAAGCGATGGAAAGAGAGAGACAGGTTTGAATCTTACTGATCGTACCACTCCCCCATTTGCTTGCAGCCTTAAATAGGTGCTCACCAACAACATTTGCCCAAACAACCTATCCTGGTTAAAAGGGGGATCATTGTCTTAATATTGTATAATTTCACTACTGCTGCGCACATTTTTTTTGACTAACATTAACATCTCATCAAATGTCAGTTTTAAAATGGGTAGTTTAGACTTAACATGTTCTAAAATATAAATATTAAAAAAATCACAGCACAAATGCACGATAAACAGCGGCTGAGTGGCCGGCCGTGAGTTCCTGGTGGATATTCCACATTCCAATAGTGGGGACCAACCTATCCATAGGACAAACACGATTGAACCAATTTTATTAATTCTTGAGAGATGATGGGGTGAGTTTCCACCCAAAAAGAGATTGGAAATATCAACTTACTCAAAGACAAAGGTAGACGAACAGTTATTGGACACATCATTGATATGCCACAACACTCTTACCCTGTGCCTCTTTCTGGATGGCGGTGGCTCTTTAGGCTCCGTGGAATTTTCAGGCTGCATGTTCTCCGCTGCCACAGAACGCAAGGGCCGTCGCGCAAGGTTGTCCTTGCGATGTATGACAGCCGACCGCGCCTTCAGATGCCTGGCAGATAAAAACACGTACACGTGAGTGTGTGTGAACGGACGGCAAACCGTGGCGACAGAGTGATGATGTCGGTCAAGTGGACTGTGGTGGCATAACAGATCCATGATGGGTGGTGATCTTCAACATTTAACAATCATATTGCGCCTTCCATTCACTACATCATGGGTAGCCAGGTGATGGAATGAGGTCTTCATCCAGCTCTGGATGGACATTGGCTGATAATGGCGATGAACATGTGTCACATTCATAATCACATTTACTTTGGTGAGCTTCAGATACCAGTTGCCATTGATGGGCGAAGCCAGGAATTAAACCGGGCTTGTTCATAGACACAGAACCACAAATGCTGGTACAAGCACACACAAAAGATAAAGATCCCCCGTATAGCCTTAACATACCGTTGGGGTAAGTGCTGTTAGCGAGCGCCTATGAAGGCTGGCATGGCACACGAGGGGGTGGGTGGCCAGCACCAAGCCCGGCCGCCTTTGTCTCTCCATTGGCGATGGTTACACACCACACCAGGTACTCATTTGAGGTCGAGTCGACCCAGGGAAGGCCCAGGACCGGCTCAGATAATCGTCACTGGTGGTGGCTATGAGCGGGTTCGATTCACCGGGTTCGTAGCGCAGTGCACTAACTGCGACACCACGGCTCCCCCCCCCACACGCATACACACACACGCACACACACACACACGGGCATACACACACACACGCACACGGGCATACACACGCACACACACACACGCACACGGGCATACACACACACACGCACACGGGCATACACACGCACACACACACACGCACACGGGCATACACACACACACGCACACGGGCATACACACGCACACACACACGCACACGGGCATGCACAATAACATGCGCGGAACAGGCATGGTCAGTGAGTGCCGAGAGAGCACTAAGTGGCTCTTACAGGAAGCTCCAAGAAATGACAAAGGATCTGTCAAAAAAAACACCACTCCAAAGGACTGATTGCAAGTGCACGTAGTCAAGGGTATGCCATTTTATAAAGAGGCATATACACGTGCACGAACCCATACACACGCACATAAATAATTTGGAGAGCACGATATTTAAACTTGCGTGCAAACTATATGCGGTGTGTTTTCTGATGGCCACCACAATGTGTTAATTAGGACAAGTAGTACTCATTGGTTTACGTGTCTTTCTCAAACCTTTTTAGTATATGTAATATTGCATATGCTGCTTAAACGTGTAAAAAACATTGGGATCTTTGAAAAAAAACACAACAAATATAACAAAAATAATACGTAACACTGTGTGTATTCTCATAAAATTAAAGCTCAAGTGATATAAAAAAAATCATCTTGATGAATATACAAAAATTCTGCGTACTTTATAGCTCAGCCTACGTATTAAGGGACCTGGCTCAGAGGGTATATTTGGATAGTAAAGAAAGACACGCCCTTGTGTTGTTTCGTAACATTAGACGGGGTGTCTGACATGTGATGTTGAGTCCGTGTGGCAGCCGGGAGCCGGTTCTATCCCGCAGTCGAAGTCGCAGTCGTAAAGTGAAACGGTCACACTTTAAAATAAGTCTTGCAGCTCTGCTCAAGTGTGTTACAGGGGGCTTCACAGCTGAGGAGGCTGTCTCGTTCCAAATGAGGTCATAACACTCGGGCTGAAATATGGCACATGCATCAGCCACTCTTTTGGCTGCTTGAAAGGTCAAACCGTTGCTTTATGCGACCAGCACAAAAGTCGCCGTTACTTATTAGCGTCGTTTAAACTGACACACTAACGCAAGCAACTTTCACTAAATTGTGAATTAACATTTGCGAACGAATGCTTGGAATGGCCATCAGTATTTACAACTCATCATATCCAGTCTGAGACTAAATATCTGCCCTTTATCTTCAGGAGATTCGTGTCACTGCGATAAATAAATGTACGTAAAGTATCATTGCCTTTGACCAAATCACCAAGAATGCACCAGATCTCATCACATCTCAAAAATGAAGCAGGATTTGAGGCCTGGATTATGCTCGGATGGATGACCACCATGTCTCGTCGACAGGTGCAGTGGGCCTTGTGGGCAGTAGTGGGCAGTGCAGCAAACTTCTTTATTGTTCTGCACTCAATCTTGATGTGAAGCTTTCGTGACTGCAGGAATCCATACTCTTTGGTTCTTTCGGTCAAGTCACGTAGGTACTCACCAACATGCACTGACCCGCGTGGTCAGGCATTATTAAATGTCCTTCAGAGCCTAGAAGGCATGTGGAGACCTTCATTCCGCAGTGGATTGAAGAATGGGCCATAGGTGTACAATATATTAATACCCGAAAGGAAACCGTGTACGACTGTATATATCTCAAGAAACGTCACAAGAAAAAAAATCTGGTGCGTTATTTCGTCTAATATTTGTACTCAAAGATGTCATCGTGGAGGAGTGAGGAAGCTATTAATTTTGTAACTGCTGCTGGCTCGGACTGGTCGGCAGTGAAGTGGTGTTCAACAAATCGAATGCCCTCTGTGGCATTCTGAATGGTAAAAAAACACACGTTCTAATTGAAAGGGTGTAACAAGTCTATATCGCCAGCGGGCATTAGCGCCACCAAACGAGGCAACAGGCAGCGTCTGCACATTCATCCGAGGCCCACTTCACGGCCATCTCTGAGCATTTACCGGTGTCCCCTCGCATAAAACTGACATTCATTAAGAGCAATGCCAACAACCAAAGAATGGCTGTCGCTGCACTTGCAATTGCCATGGTGGCTGGATGTTATCTCCCTCGCCTGGAATACAGGAGATCGTGGGTTCGATTCCGACCCTGACGCCTGTGTATTTGGAGTTTGCACTCCCTGTGGTCATGTGGCTTTTTCTCCGGGTCTTCCGGTATTTATCTCCACATTAACAAACATGCCTTTTTAGTATTTGGTTGCGATACATTTTCCCGTGATGAAGCCACTTTGGTGAGCTGTTATTTGCAGCCAGGCCGCTTCTGAAAAAAGGTATATATTGCAGTGGGCCTTACCTGGTAAAAAAATAGAGTAAAAAAAAAACAGTGAATTTGGCACGGCGTGTTTCGAGTCGGTGCGTGTGTGCGGTTGTGGTGCGCAATGAGGAGCGCGCAGACCCGCAATTACCTCGGCAGCCATCAGAGATGGCCGTGACAAGAACATGAACATATGCAGCGCACAAAGGATATTTCATTTACATTTAATTACCCGCACTACAAATTACGGCTGTTATTGTAATACATAGGAGCGCTCGACTCGTAGTCAGAAGGTCCTAAGTTCATATCTCGAATGGGGAATCGGCTTGCCGTACCATTTCCTTCAGTGCCGATCAAATGAATACCACTTGTGGGTTGGCGACGGTGGTAACTCCATGGATGAAACTGGCACACCTTGACATGTGACTATGGACTTTCAACCACTGGCTCAAGATCGCCGATGAAGATAAATGTTATTAAAATACTTGCTTGAACATTGATACTTTGGGGATGGTAACATCTGCCAGCGACAGTGGTTACGTGTTATTTTCGTGCAATTAGTTATATACACACACACACACAGAGTGTAACATCATTATGGATATTAATAAAAATGTTGGAAATGTAAGTTCGTTTTTGGGTATGGTACTGTATATGTAAAGTGTACCGTTTTTATATTTATTTTACACAAACTGTTGCCTTCAATATTTTGGGTACACTAATTTGTATTCACCTGAGGCCATACAACATGAAATAATGTCAGTGGGCTTTCAGTTGGTTATAAAGAACAATGACATTGAATATAAAACTACAAGAAATACAATGAGCCTGTCCAAATATCATGGATGGTGGCCCTTGCGACGTTCCATATTCTTGTGCAGAACATTGAAGTGCATTTCATTTACCCAGATACGGGATTACAAAACCCCCCGCTTCACACAGCTTTTAATGACATCTTTTTATACAATGTTCTATTCCCCTATCTGTTGACGTATGTGTACGTCATTAGTTTTTCTTTCGATTTCATTCCGATGACACACGTGTACACCATCAAAACGAAACCGGAAGAAAAAATAAAATAAGTTATCATCAGTACCGAGGCTCCCACAAGGCCATGCGAGGGGGCGTCTGGCACAGTTTGGTGCCAGCTTTGATAGTGCGGTCGTGTGGCTACAGTTCTCTGTGGCGAGTACAATGTCTTTAAAAACAACGGCGCTACGCCTCTCTAAATTAAACGTCGAGCCGCTTGCGCGTTCCGAGATTCGGAAGTGAACGAGACACCCACCCTGCGACTTGCAGACTTCTCGGTAACGGGAAAGGGGGTTAAGGCCATGGGTAAAGCACCGGTGTGGCCTCTGTAATGGGCAGCGGCGGAGTAAAAGGAAGCGGGCACGTTCACCCCCCTTTTTCAGAGGTGGCATCGTGGGCTCGGGAGGCAGTGCACGAGGGTTCCTCATGAAAGGTGGCAGGGCGTCCCTACATCACAGGCTGCTCGCAACGTTTCAATAGGGGGCGGAAGGGGCAGGTTCACGGGCCACCGCGTGGTTCTGCGACAAGCGCGCTCGTCTTCGTAAACGGGGTGACCCAAGCGTACTCGCTCAGGAGCAACAGACCGGAGGGCCGTGGGCTAGTCTCAAGAGACGCTGCGGTCTGGGTTCATAATGGCGAACGCCACAGGCGCCTATACAGGTGGTCCACTTGCCTCCTGGAAATGCGGCCGATTCAGGTGGCGCTCAGTCCACTCCTCTTCAAAACCTAATAACCGATTCAACCTTCTGAAAGGCTTAGTTCGAGCGAAATCGTGCTGTCAATAAACTCTAAACAGCAAGTGCATCAATAATCATAAGAGCAATCACACGTACAGGAACGAAAGGGTTTTTTCACCTTCTGAGGCTATGAACTGGCATGTAAACCCGCTGACTACAGACGCTGCAGCGGAGCAATTCTTCGTCTCGCACCTTGGCACTGTTTTACACAATTAAGATGTCAGTGGCAATATATTTCAAAGTATGAATGTAATA